ATTGATCACTAAAAGTCCACAAGAGGTGATTTTTCATCAAAATACAAAAGTTTTTTTATACAAACAAAAGAGATGTTTATGTTCATATAAAAATGTACATTAATTAATCGAGTTTAATAATGATCATCCTTGAAGACTAATTGCGTAGAATTTTCAAACATTCGTTTAACTCTAAAGTGGAATTTTACTTTTGTCATAGTGAAATTTTTGGAAAACACGTAAGCTATTAACAGGTACATCACACAAACACTACTTTACCTGACTTCACAGCCTTCCGCACGTTAATTGTTACACAATAATTAACGATCCTACACGGTGTCTCATTAATACTTTAGAAATATGTTATGAACTCGCTCTTGCATTCTAATTGTCCGGGTCAAAAATAGAGCGTGTACATAACACCCATTTAAATCGTTATAAACTGGATTTTACATAAATACGCGGTATTGAAAATCATGTGTGTTTAGTTTTTAAAATCAATTTTTCATTAACCTTTAAAAGTATTGTGTAATACACTCGAATAAAAACAATAACAACAACATGGCAACATTGTGGCACAATCTAAAGTGTCACAATCACAATCTTGCTAAAGTTAGAGATAAGACAAAAACAAAATAAGCGATTGTACGGTTGATTTAATTTTTAATTTATATAGCATAACTATTAGAGCAAATCGACTGCAATAAGCCGTTTTCATAATTCTGTCATGGATTACACAATGAGAATTTATTGCATTTTAGATCTTACTTATCAGTTTTAATATCAGAAATGATTCGAAACGTTGTTTATCATACAAAAGTAGGTGTGTAAGATGTGTCTTTTATGCTTTTTTGAAAAGCTGATTTCAAGTACAAGATAAATGGTATAATTAATTAGGTTGTCAAACGACAATTAATCTAGAATGAAGAAAGTTACTCGATCGAATTGCACAATTAAATCACGAATAATAAATCGATAAATATTAATCTTTAAGCTGCTTAAATTTAACTGTATATATATATATATATATATATATATATGATA